AAGCTTATTGTGCACACACAATTCATTCATCTTAAGCATTGCATATTTAAGATGCACAGAATTTAAAGGAACCCATATGATTAATAATACAGACGCTTATTTATATTAATCTAATTGCTTTATAAATTGCTTCCATTGTAGACAAATATATACCTTCTATATTATATTATAATATATGACATCATATTAGTTGAATTTTTTTAAGATAACTTTAAAGGTCAAAAAGTACACCTATTACCCTCCTCCCTTGGTTAATCTTAAATTATAAAGAACCTTGTAAAATATTAAGAATACATGTAGAAACTTTGCACAAAATCACACCGCAACTATACAAAGTGCTTAGGAACATATATGTAATAGTAGAATATGTAGGAATGGATAAGACACTTTAAAAGTACATGCTGGAACACTCGTAGATAACACGCTCCTTGATTCAAACATAATGTATTGTATATTGTTGGTATTATGGATATCATAAAAAGCAATTCAGCCCACACAAGTAGGAATCATAACATCGTTCACATTCGCATGATGTTTTCGATTAAAATATTTTATGCATTTGTAGATAGATAAATAGAACAATTCATAATGGTTTAATTAGTGAAGTTTGATAAAAAAATAAAGAAGCTCTGAATTAACGATTGAATAATGAAATAGTATAAGAAATAATTTAAATTATAATGATGACTAAATTCTAATATAGAAGAATGATGCCCCATCTCGAGAAGGATATATTCCCAAACTACTTTGATGTGAGGATTGAGTCATCTTTTTCTCTTCCTATCCCTCCCTCTTTTCCTCCTTTAATTCTCTCATTGCTACCTAAAAATAAAGAAATGGAGGGGAAATGACATGACAAGAGGGTGCGACACTTTAAACTATTGTGAAGCTTTATGAGATGTAAAGTTATGTAAATAACTATTGTTTGAAATGCTCCAAAATATAAAAAGTATGTTTGTAATTTCGTAGAAAATTTGGAACGCTTATGAATGCCATTCATTACTTAAACATAACCTAAAACTCAATCATACATGCCAATCTCAATCATATCAACTTTACAGATCTAATCATACATACTATTTGGAATAGTATGTGCAATCATTCGTAGATCAAATGAATGAAACTACACTATTGCATGTATATGAGAATCTCATATTATTTTACCATAAATACACATGAAGTTTGACTTATAGACTAGTTAACATGCACACACAAACTCAATTAATTTTAGGTTTATGTTGGGTCATTGCACTAGCATATTGGGTCACGGATAGTTTCAAGCTTCCCTAAGAATTGAAAATTACCTAACTCTCATTAGATTTTCTTTTGGAATGGGCTCCCTTTATTATGAATTTTTTTATAACTTCGAATGCTTTGAATTAAAAAAGAGAGAGGCATATTTGTAGATCTTGATAGGAGAGGGAGGGAGTATTTAGTTCCATATTTAAAATCATATCAAAAGATTGACTAATCTCATCATTTTCTCATAGATATGTGAGTAAACGAATACACACGTAGGTTGGCTCAATTGATCCTCTATAACTCTCCATGATAAAAAAAGAAAACATGAATTATGGCATACCGATAATTATAACTCTTAGAAATAGAAAATAATAATAATAAAATCTTCATAAAAAGCCAACATCCCCCTCAAGTTGGAGCATGGACATCTATCATGACCAACTTGCTTACAATGAGCTCAAAATTAGTCTTGAATAGTCTTTTGGTGAAGATATCCGCTATTTGTTTAGCAGTAGGGGTAAATGTCATGTAAATAGCCCACAATCTTCTCGTTTATGAAGCGTTTGTCAATCTACACATGTTCTGTGAGACCATGCTGCATTGGATTTTCTGCAATGCTTATGACTGCTTTATTATCACAATATATCTTCATTAACATGCTTTTCAGGATCTGTAGCTCTTTAAGAATTCTTTTCAACCATAAGATCTCAACACACTATATTCTGCCTCATGACTACTAATTTCAATCACATTCAGTTTCTTACATTTTCATGTAACCAATTTTTCCCACATATAGGTGCAGTATCCAGAAGTTGATCTTCTTTCAATAAGTGATTCCACCCAATCTGCATCAGTGTACGTCTCTATGCTCTTTCGTGTGGTCATTTGAAAGAGTAAGCCTTTTCCGATGTACCTTTTAGATATCTAAGAATTCTGTTGACTGTTTCAGGATTTTTCTCATAAGATGATGTATAAATTGACTTACTAAACTTACAACAAAGGCAATATTTAGTTGTGTATGTGATAAGTATATCAACTTCCCCACTGATTTTTGATACTTAACTGTATTCATTAGATGACCTACTTTCCCATCTCCCAATTTTTGATTGGGATTAGTTGGAGTGTCTGCATGTCTACACTCATTCATGTTAATTCCTTGAAAGATCAAGAACTTACTTTTGTTGACCTCCATGCCAATAAAATATATATTGGATATCGTAAGTCCTTGGTTTCAAAAACGGATGATAGAGAAGTCTTCAAAAGCTTCATCTCATATGCATCATTTCCAGTGGGAATAATATCGTCCACATGCACGATAAATATGACTATCTTCCCATCATTTGAATTTCTGAAGAACATTATATGATCTCCCTGCCTTTCAGTATACCCCTAGTCTTTAACAAATAATGTAAATTTCTTAAACCATGCTCTCGGTGATTGCTTAAGCCCGTGTAAGGATTTTTTTAGTTTACACATCTTTATGCCAAACTTTTCATTAAATCACGGAGGTGCATCTATATACCATTTTTCCTCCAAGTCCCTTTGGAGTAAGACATTCTTTATATCCAATCATTATAGAGTCTAGTCAAGATTAACTGGAAGTGAGAAAAGAATCCTTATAGAGTTTAGTTATGTGACTTTAGTGAATGTCTTCTGAGTAAAGCCCTTGACAACCAATTTAGCCTTGTACCGTTCCAAAGAACCATCCAAATTATAGTTGATTGTAAAAACCAATATGTACTCGACAACTATTTTTCCTCTAGGTAGATCCATTGATTCCCACATATCATTTTTTCAGAAGCTTTCATCTCCTCGAAAACGACCTCCTTCCACTTACTGACTTTCAGAGCATCCTTCACAGTACTAGGAATCTCCATATGCAATAACCATGAGGTAAAAGCACAAAAAGTGGGTGAGATTTTTATATGATACATAATGAGACAATGGATGTTAGGTGCATGACCTTTGCCCAATGGGAAGACTAGACTCATTAGAGTTAAGATTCAAACTATGCTCAGATTTAGGGGTAGAAGGCTTAGAACTTGAAGATGAAGTGGACTGAACATTGGGTATTTGATTAGTTAGGACATTGCTTGGGTTTGTGAATTTTGGGCAGTGTAAAAGATTCATAGACCTTTTTTTTGAGTTGTCCTCTACCTCAAGTGAACAATATCAAATGGTACGATTTTTGTAGCTCTTTTTCCTATTTCTTATTTGTTATGAACATCATGAGATGACATTGTAGTAATTTCAATATCTAAAAGGCTTGACACCCTCTCTGCTGATATAAAATCTCTTGGATTTTCAAGTTGAACAATCAAGATTAGTGACATACTATTTTATGAGTATTCAATTTGAAGAAAATCTTGAAACTAAGTAAACAAATTTTTATTTTGTTTCCCCAATTGGAGATGTGTTGAAAAAAAGATTGTAATAAAAAGGTGACATTTGTGATAACAAATTTTTTTTTTTTAGAATTTAGATCAAAGCATTTATACTCTTTTTAGTTAGGAGCATAACCAACAAACACACATTTTTTGGCTTGTGATTCAAGTTTTCCTTGATTATGAAGGTAAGCGAATGCAATACACCTAAATATTAGAGGTAGAGAAGATGAGAGCCCATTCTTTGGAAACATTTAACTTCAAAAAGAGTTTCAAAGTTTAAAACTTTATTTGGTGCTCTATTTATAAGAAATATATCAGGAAGAATAATTTCACCCCAACATATTTAGACACCTAATTAGTAAATAGCAATACTCGATCAACCTCCAATAAGTGCTTGTTTTTTTAGTCACGCTATTTTGTTGTGGAGTGTTGACACAATAGTTTTGATGATTATTCCTTTTTTAAGAAAGATTTTGACCTAAAATATTTTGAATACTCTCGGCCATTATCACTCTATATTATTTGAATGAGTTTTTAAAATTGTATATATCCTGATATAAAATTTTTTTAAGATTATTTCCATTTCAGATTTTCGTTTATTAAATAAACCCAACTTAATCTAGTGTGATTACCACTCATCAGTGAAAGCGACAAACTATTTTTTCTCAGAATGTGTAATGTTTTTACAAGGACCTCTGATATTACTATAAATCAGAGTAATTGGCATAATTGGTTTGTATAGTTGTGGAAAAAATAATGCACAATGCTGTTTAGCAAATTGATATACTTCATATTGAAATACATAATTTTTTTTTCTGAAAATAATTTGAGAAACAAGTATTTTAAACACTAAAAACTATGTTGATTTAACATAGTATGCTATACTGTAAGTTCATCGTTTTTAGAAATAAAAATATATGTTAAACCAATACTTTGACATTGTTAATTCGAGTCAAATTCATTTTCAAAATAATTTAAGACAATACTAAAAATTTAACAAACACATAAAGAAATAATTACAAACATAAAAATGAAGAAATAAATGAGGATACATCTAAATAAGAATATCACAGAATTCCACAGTTTGCTCAAGTCCTTTATGTGCTAGGGAGTTGTTGGACGTTTGTATTTCCGGTTTGGTGGTACCGAAATCAGACTTTCAATTGTTTTCCTCTTTTGAATTCTGGTATCAAAAGGTTTTCTCTCTCTTTTCATCACATCTTCCTTGCAATATCAGCTTTCACCATATTCTCTGATTGTGTTTTTGCCAAACATACGTATAATATTATATACACGTGTATGAAGCAGAATATATAAATCACAACCGTAAAATCATTGCATGATAAGCTTCTGAATTTTTTTTTGTAACAGAACAATCATGGCATTGTGGAAGGCAAAGTCTCTAAGCCCTGAACAGAAGGTGAGATTAGTGGAAGAAGAGTCCGAAGAGAAGGAACTTCGCTCAGAGGAGAGTGGATCTTTCCTGGGGATAGAAGATGCCAAAATGTCTGAGGTTTTCTCCTCTATTGTCCCTGTTCCTGTGAGTATGCCTCCTTTTGCCATTGTATAAGTTGATGTATGGAAATGCGCTCTCTTAAGTTTTTTTTTTTTTTTTAATCATAAGCCTGAGATTTGACTTTCAAATAATCAGCTGAACTCACTCATGGAGATCTTTGAAGGAGATTCTTTTGAGCAAAAGGTGATGGAAAAAGTTGGTTGTGTTGATTACTCCGCTTCACCGTGGGAATCTGTCTCGCCCGATGTGCACCAGAGACAAGTCAACTACAAATTTGATAAGAACATCTCTCGCTATGGCGGTGAGGTGACTAGCACACAGCAGAGGTCTCCCCTCCATGATAAAAATGGATGGCTGATTGAAGAGGTCATGACACTCCAAGGAGTGCTACTTGGCGACTATTTTACTGTAAGGGAAACAAAAACCGTCCAAAGTCTTCAGCCATTAGAAAGCATTATATGATATACTCGTCTTACAACTTGGTTTTAACTTATTTTTCAGCTTCATTTGAGATATCAGATTGATGATCTCCAGTCAAAATCCAAGGCATGCCATGTTCATGTGTCCTTGGGAATTGCTTGGTTGAAGAGCACCAAGCATCAGAAAAGGATAACGAAGAATGTTATTGCCAACTCATCTACTCGTTTGAAAGAGATGTTTCGTTTGGTTGAGAAAGAGTTCTCAACAGGGAAATAGAAATTTTGTGGACTTCTTGCAAATCCATTGGGAACTTCAAGAAGCTAAACTGGCATGAGAAGTTGCAGAGACAATCTGCTGGCAGCTGTTTTCAGCGTCATCAGGTCTGACGTGATTTTTATATGTACGCTTCCATTTTTTTTTAAATTTTATGATTGTATATTATTTCTATAGTTCTGTACATTTGTAGGTTTCAATTCATTTGTAAGTGTCTGCTGAGGTTGAGCTATTGAGATTAGGCATGGTAGGCTAGAAATGCTTCTCTTAAAATCACGAAACAATGATGAAGGGATGCAAAGCTCATGATGCTTCTTCGAAATTATTAAATATGACATTTTTGATTTATCCTGTACATTTTAGGATCTTTTACTGTATTATAAAGAAATATAAATGCAGCTGTGACAATCATTATTAGTATTGTGAGAATTATTTAGGCTGGGCTTCATATACTTCTCATGAAATGCTGAATTCGGAGCTAGTCTGAGCATTTTGGAAATTTGTTGGGGAGGTTAGTTGGGAGCGCGCGTTCTGACTTGAGAAAGAGTACTACAACTCAATTTGTTTAATTTTTCATTAAGCAACGATGAAAATAAGCTAAAACTTGCTCAATTTCTCCTCAATTAAATTCATCTTCTATTTAATATTTCTTTTTATTTTGTCTTCCAATTCTCTTCGGACCAAGTGGAGCCTTAGTTATTTGCTTCTGTCAAAATTCGATAAGTTTGGCAGGCTGCTTCATGGTATATACATGTAGAAGGGATATCTACATTGACAGTTTAAAAAGATTTGACTTGGTCACCAAAATTTTAAGTTGGGGTGTAGTATGGGTCATAACTTGGGATTTGAAAGTAGAAAAATTTACATACATACCGTTCAATTCCTATATTTACATATTTAACACCTAAGCATTAATTCTTACATACATGTCACCTTACCTATGCATGAAAAAGTGTATTTCACTTTTTAAAATTTAAAATGGTGACATTTTTGTTATGATATGAATGGTTTAGATGGTGTAACTGTAAAAAATAAAATTTAGGTGTTAAATATGTAAATACATACAAAATGGGTAGTTTCCCTTGAAAGTATTACATATAGAGCTTGTTGCGTGCTGAAAGATTCGCGGTGATAGAGTGATTATTTAATGTCTTATTTTTGCAAGAAAATCCAACATAGATAATTGAACAATAGCAAGTAAAGACACTAGAATTTTTTTTTTATGAAAAAATCTTGATAGAAAAGAAACCACGGAGTTTGACCCTGTCAAAATAGTCCACTATAATTGTGTAAGTACAAAAATATATCTTTTTCTCATAATTGGGAGAGCAGTGTTATAATTTTACATTAGATACAACCCTTGTATGCATACAATGTATAGAAAACTTCAAGAGTGCCGAAAGAATCTCCATATTCTGAATACTGATCTTAAGCAGTGGTTGTTTGGAGTTGTTGTTGGATCTTCAATACGATATTATGTGTTACGATCAGATTTCAGATATGTGTATCAAGCAGGGATCACCGATGATAATGATCAGTAGCGCCATAGTCGACGACGAGTCATTGACAGTGGTCGATGACTACGGTGGCCGAAAGTTACCATCGAGTTTTTAGTTTAGAATAATGCTTAAATTTTACCGTTTTCTTCCCCCGCTTAAGTGAAGAGAGGCAGACTATTTTTATCCTTTTTGGGGAGGGGCATTTTGGCCCTTCGGGGAACAAATCCCATGATCACTTGATCGAACAACCACATTGATCCCTCTTGATCATTATTTTTTTATGAATTGATGACCTGTTGACCTCATTTTGAGGCCATTTCTCTTCTCCTTAGATCCTAGGATCTAGCTGTAAGGGTTCCTATTGACTATCTTAGAGCACTAGTATTGGGATCCATCCTTCTTAAAAATTCAAGCCACTTTCTGATTCTCTTGTGGTGTATCACATGGGTGATCTCAAATCATCGTCGTTTGGTCGAGTGGTTAAGAATCACCATGTGGAGACTTAGAGAGAAGTTCTCAATAGGATCTCAAGCTCTAAGGAAACCCCTTTACGACTTTATCAATACACTCACACACACAAAATACACAAAATCCACTAAGTTGCTCAAAGTCGAACTAGAATTGAGCTTAAACATGGTGAAAATGTGAACTTCTCCGGACGACCCTCGATGAAGAAATGGACTGCGCCGGCGCGTTCGGAACTTTAATTTTAGCTAGGGAGGAAACCCATATTGTCATGATTCTGCATAAGAGCAAATCACACGCAAATCGATGAATTCGTCCGAATGACATCAGATGACGAAACAGACTGCCCTGACACGTCTGAAGTGTCGATTTTACCCAGGAGCGATACCTATTTTGCTAGGGTTCCGAGCACGAATAAATTGCACGTTAATTAATATATTTAAATAATATAATATAATAAAATAAAACAAAATAATAAAAAAAAAGAAATCCTTATTTTAAACCCCATTTCACTTACCCCGCGGCTCGTCGCCTCACCTCCCTTCTTCCCAGTCGTGGCTCGATCTAAGCCTGGCAGCTCCCGCGGTCGGCTGCAGCCTAAGCCGCCCGAGTGAAGCCCTAGCTTCCGCTCTCCTCTCCAGTTCGCAGCCCAGTCGCGCCTCGCCCCCTCAAACCCCGCTCGACCGAGCGACTCTCCAATCGCGAGCTGCCTCCTGTCCGACCCTTCTCCTTCTCAAGGTCGCATCTCCTCTTTCCTAAATGCGATCTTTCCTCTCTCGATACCTCATTCGAGGTATGACCCTCCCCCTTTTCCCGTGGCTATAAGAAAAACCCACCTTGGGGAGTTGTAGAGGTTGGCCGAAATTCCTAGAGAGAGGGAGGTGTTGCCATTTTTTTTGGTTGATTCATCCTGTGTGTGTGACTTGAAATATTTTTGGAGTTCTGTTTTCTCTTGGGTAAAATTTGAGAGAGGAGAAGAGGTTGAAAATTTGGAAAGAGAAGAGAGGAGAAAGAGTTGTTGCATCTTTGGTTGCTTGTTGTTGGATCTCTATTAGTCGTGCGCATTCGCTGCTGTATTCTCGAGGCTTTTAGGAGACTTTTGCTTTTGCATCAAGGTTCTTAAGGGAGGTATTGCTGATTTTACTTTCTTAGGCTTGTTCTTGAGTTTGCTTTGAATATGCATCAGAGGTAACCCTCTTCCTTCTTCTTTCTTCAAGCATTTGAAGGAATTATCTGTTATATTCTATTTTCATGCCTTGGGTTTAATGTGCTCATAATTTATAAAGATGTGTTTAGGCGATTTTGCTATGATTTTGCTGATTTTGCTATGATGATTTCTTGCCTGGCGATATGAGTAATCTTTCTTATCTGCGTCATTTGGAGTTGTCCCTGAATGCATTTTCTAAAGTAATATTTCTAATATGTGTCACTTGGAATTGCCCCTGAATGCATATTTTTAAATAAATTTATTTTTCTGTAATCTACGCCACTTGGAATTGCCCCTGAATGCATTCTCTAAAGCACCTGGAATTGGGAAACTCCGAACGACACTCGAAGACGAAATGGACTGCGCCGACGCGTCTAGTACGTTACTTTAACTAGGGAGCACACCTATATTGCCATGATTCTGCATAAGAGCAAATCACACGTAAATCGATGAATTCGTTCGAATGACATCAGATGATGAAACGGACTGCGCCGGCACGTCCGAAGCGTCAATTTTACCCAGAGAAGATACCCACTTTGCTAAAATTCCGAGCACGAATAAATTGTACGTTAATTAATATACTTAAATAATAAAATAAAATAAAATAAAATGAAATAATAAAAATAAAAAAAAAGAAATCCTTATTTTAAACCCCATTTCACTTAACCCGCGGCTTTTAGCCTCACCTCCCTTCTTCCTAATCGCGGCTCAATCGAAGCCTGGCTCGCTTCCCCTTTGTGCCCTAACTCCCGCGGTCGGTTGCACTCGAGGCCGCCCGAGCGAAGCCCTAGCTTCCGCGTTCCTCTCCAGTTCGCAACCCAGTCACTTAGAAGGCCCTTGAATGCATTTTCTAAAGTAATCTTTCTAATCTGTGTCACTTGGAATTGCCCGTGATTGCATTTTTTAAAATAATTTTTTTCTCTAATTCACGTCACTTGGAATTGCCCTTGAATGCATTCTCTAAAGCACCTGGACTTGAGAAATTTCGGTCAATTTAAGCACTGATTGAGTTTAATGTTAAGAATGAGAATGGTTATAGAATTGGTGAGCTGGAACATATGAGCGAGATGCACAAATTAAAAAAAATACATTTTCTGGAATATGTGAAGGATGCTAGGGAGGCCTGCACAATAAAATTATTTTTTTTAAAAAAAGAGCTCAGATTTATTTTCAAATTGGGGCTTAGTTTTGGCTCCTTGTGGCTGTCTTCTTTGCTCGAATTGCATGTTGGGTGAAAATTTATTTTTTTCGGATTTCTTGGGGGCTTATTTTGAGGTCTCAGTTTTGCTCTATGCTGCTATTTACCTATTTGAAGTACATGCTAGATGGAATATTGATTTGGGGCTTGATGCTGGTTCCCTATTATTGTTGCCCTTGTTTGAAATACATGCTGGAAGAAATCTTTATGTTGAGGAATTATTTTGATTGCACTGTTTTCTGTTATTCCCTTATTCGAATCACATGTTGAATGAAATGTTGATTTGAGACTTGATTTTTGAGCTTTCCATTATTGTTACCCCTGTTCGGAATATATGATGGGTGCAAATTTTGGGTTTTAAAGCTTTGAGGAATTTGCTTTATGGTGGCTTGATTTTGGCCCCTTGCTAGGTTTTGCAAATCTTTTGTTTGTCATTTGAGACTGCAATGTTGGAATCATTTGGGACTATTTTGGCCTGTTTTGGGGCTGCAGTTTTTTTTTTTGCTCCGTTTCGACGACGTTTGGCCTGCCATTTGGGCACATTTTAATGAAGTTTTGGGGCTGCAGTTTTTGCTCCATTTCGGGGACGTTTGGCTGCCATTTTGGCACGTTTAATGAAGTTTTGGGGCTGCAGTTTTTGCTTTGTTTCGGTGATGTTTGGGCTGTCATTTTGGCATGTTTTAGTGGCGGTTTGGACTGCAGTTTGAGTCCCTATTTGATGATATTTAGCTGCGGTTTATGGAGATATTTTGGGACAGATTTACATGTATGCCACCCCATTCTTTAGTATTTACAAATCTAGCACCTAAACTTCAATCTTTACATGCATACCACCCGTCCTTGAGAATATTGCATATATACCACCTAATTCTTATATGTTCATATTTATAACACCTGAAGTTCAGCTTTCTTTCCCAAAATCTCTATGACTTTGATGGTATTCGGGAAGCTTTCGTTGGAAGCCTATGAAATATTGTGAATTTTGATGTGCTTGAAAATCTTAAACTCTGCGGGCATTTGAAGAGTTTGTTGATAGTTTCATGCAAGGGTGTAAGCTATATATAAAATT